CACTGGGTTGGGATGTTTTCTTGATGTGCACTTTTACCCTTTATATAAAACTCTCTCTTATACATGAGTTTCTGTGGATTTGTTTCTCTAAAGTAACCAGACTAATACACCCGGTTTTTGTTTTTTTCCCCCTAGCGATGACTGCAGAGGGGGTATGTAGCTTGAAAAGGTCTATTATAATTAGGTATCACTTACTTTTTAAAAACAACTTAATTGCCATGTAATTCATCATACAATTCTTCCATTTAAAAGGTACACTCCAACTGATTTTAGTATATCACCAAATGCAACTCGACCCCATTGCTATGGGGATGATTTCAAGTCATAATAACCTAAGAAGACAAAGAAACTTCATTGCCATCAAGCCATTTTTGACTCATAGAGACCAGCATGGGTTTCCAGAGACCATAGTTGTTTACAGGAGTTGAAAGCCTCATCTTTCTTCTAAAGAGTAACTGGTGGTTTCAAACTGCTGACCTTGCGGTGAGTAGCCCAATGTGTAATTACTATGCCACCAGAATTGCAGTGACCCTATTGGACTAAGAAAAACTTTCTCAAAGGATTTCCGAAGACAGCAATTTCTTATGAAAGCAGACTGCTACCTCTTTCTATCACAAAGTGACTGGTGGGTTTAAACCACTGACCTTCTGGTTAGTAGATGGGTACTAAACTTAGTAACTCCATAGTTACACCCAATTCACCACCATAAATTTCACAACAATATATCATCATTACATAAAGAAACCCTACACCTATTACTGTATATACTCGAGTGTAAGCCAACCTGAATATCAGCTGAGGCACCTAATTTTACCACAAAAACTGCATTAAAATTGTGCTGAAAAACTCGGCTTATACACGAGTATATGCGGTAGCTGTAATGCTCCATTTTGCTTAACATTAGCCCTAAGAAACCAACAATCTGTTCTCTGCCTCTCTGTTGGGCTATTCTGGGCATTATAGATAACATTTGCTTTTTCAACTGGTTTCTTTTATTAGTTTATTTCCTTTATTAATGTTTTATTGAAAACATTCCTTCATATTGTAGTACATGTCAATGACTGTGGTTTTACAATCCAAACGCATTAAGAAGATAAGCCTTGGCAAAATATTTCTGGCTGGTGAGCATACATAACAAAAGCATGATAGGAAGGTAGGTTGGAATTGACATGTTGGCAACTAACAGTAAAATTTGAGTATCACATGAAATAGAGTTTGAAAATAATTATTGAGTAACCATTATTTGTTATTGTGAGTTAAAAACTGATTGTTTAATTGTTAAGAAAATATTAATCAATAGATTCCTAATTATTCAATAGGCATTCATTTCCTTTTGCAACTAACTATACCTCTCCCCTTGGACATCAATTTTCCATTTTTCAACTACCTTCTTATTTTTGTTAATGACTGTTGATCCTGGCTCAAATCTTCCTAAACTCTTCTTTTGGCTCCTATATCCAATTAGTTGCCAAAGGTTATTGTGGTAGTTACGTAATCTGTTGTCCATTTGAGACTTAAGAGTGAAGGGGTGGAGTTTAGCCTGTCAATCAGGTCACAGCTTGATGACCTCATTTGGAGGTACTATGGTGATAGCTTGCTAGAGGTGGGGCACATGCTCACTCCCTGCTAGGCATTCCAGTTGAGAAGACACATGGACCTACACTAGAGCACTGGATCTGAAGGAGCCATGTGGAGACCCCTGCCAGCGCTGAGATGTTTCTAGTGCCACTGGATCCACAAGACTTTACACCCCCTGACCTGTGATCTTCCTGCATTTGCCATCATTGCATGTGTTACGTGAGTCGAAGATTTTACAGATTGGTATCGGACATTTGGGCTAATATCGAACTTATGGACTTGATCTGGACTGGGCTGGGCTGTTTCCTCTATATTCAATTGCTCTTGTATATAAAACCCTTTCTTATACACATGAGTGTCTATAAATTTGTTATCTAGTCTGCCCAGACTTACAGTTATTGATTCTATTTCTTAAATATGCCTTCTGTTGCATCCTAATTGACATCAGAATACTGTGATCAAACCAAACCCATTGCCATTGAGTTGATGCAGACATATAGCAACCCCATACAGGATTCCTGAGGTTGAAAATCTTAATGGGAGCAGGATAGTTTCATCTTTATCTTGTGGAGTGGCTGGTGGATTGGAACTGCCTACCTTGGAGTTAGTAATCCAATGCTGACCCAACGACACCTCCAGGGATCCTCATTCATAATACATTATATCATATATTCCAAATTTGATACTTTTCAGCTTTTTCTCCTTTAGAGAAACAATTCACTAAGCATAATAATAAATTGTCTCCCTGTTTCCATTTGTGTAATATTATACTTATCAAATATTTAAAAAAATGTCTTCTCAATATCCTGATAGCATCTCATCACATGTAAAATAAAAGGCCCCATATAAGCAAACAGCTACTTTTCACATTTTACTTCCAGTCCTCTTCTCCCCTCACTGTACACCATATACACTGACCTTTTTTTTGGACCAACCAAACTCATCCACGCCCCTGCATACACTCTGCCTGGAAGGCACTTTTTCTTGTGGCTCATTCCATCTTGTCATGATACTTTTCAGCCTTTCTGACTAGAACTAAAGCAGCCATATTTTATGATTTTTCATTCTCTATAGTGTATTAATCACTATCCTTTTTTAGGGGAACATATTGACATCAATCTTCATACACTAGAATGTGAGCTTTGTTATAGTTTTATGATAGCTTGTTTTGTTCATCATGTACCCTACTATTTATTAAAGTGCTTGGCATGCAGGACTTCAATAAATATTTGTTCAATGGTAGTTAAGATAAACTAGGTCCTGTTAGTTTATTTTCTAATGGAGAGATTAATAAAAAAGAAAAAGAGAAAGCATAAATTTTGTTAACTCTTGCAAAAAAGAGAATTAACCAGAATAGAAGAACTTAAGGCATCTCTACAGGGTCACTCTGAGTTAGTAACAACTAGATGGCAGTGAGTTTTTGGTTTATACACATAACAGAATTAAAGGCTTTCCAAATATGAGTTCATATGCTGAGACCTGAATGAAGGTTGTAAGGAAACAGCCATGGAAGAGAATTTCCAAGAAAGAGAAGGGTTATTCTGGGAAATAAGATATGGTTTTCCTAAAGCCTAACCCCCTTGCTCTTTTACCCTGCAGTCCTATCCTAAATATTTTTCAGCATGCCTTATTAACAGTTTAATGCAATTTCTGCTTTGAATATGCTTCAGGTTTGAAGGCTCAACTCTGTTCCATCTCTTCCAAGTGCCTTCAAATTTTCATTCCCAGGTCGTAACTTGGATAGGTATTTATACCTAATTTCCAGGTGCAAATATGCTTGGATCCCTTTGGTTGGCATGTGTATTTTTCCTGGTGTCCAATTTTCTATCCTTAAAAAAAAAAATCATGGAGCAAGAAGCCCTGTTCAATTCGTGGGGATGAAAAAAGTCCCAAATGAAGGAAGACTATACTGGTTGTGGTACTGCACAGGCAGTCCACATGTGGCCCAGAGGTTTCATGCTCTATTATTTGTTAAAAATGGAATTTCAATTTAATGCTTTCTTCTATTATGGCCCCTAAGGATCCCATCATTTCATTTCCAATCAGTAAGTCTAATCTCTTTTATGATTTTGAGTTCTGCTACACATTTTTCACCTACTGCACATGGGACTCTCGAATGTGGTCCTTTTCTGAGGACCTGGTAGTGGGAGCCAGGTACCATCTAGTTCTTCTGGTTTCAGATTGATGTTTCTAAGGCCCTTTAGTCATGTGAATAAGTCCACAACTGCACTCATCCCTCTGCTAAAACAGTAACACTAAACCATTGAAGATCAAAAGGGCAGAATTTACGCAAGAGCAGAGGCTTATGAAAGATGGAGAAATGAAAATAGTGAACATTGGGTGGGAGTAGAATATGCAATGTTATATTGAGGGGACTGGAACAGTTGAGTTGGAAAAAAAAGTGTAGAAACTGAATGCAAAACTTATCAGACCCTCTGTAAACCCTTAACTACTCCACTGATTTTACAAGGGGCATAAACTGCCACATACTTCTCACTCCTTCTGGTAACTTTCTGTTACCAGCCAAGTGCTGGCAAAACCAAAAATCACTGTCAACTACAGATTCCAACGCATAAAGACCATATAGGGTGGAATAGACTTGTTCCATAGGGTTCCCAGTGTAAAAAATCTTTACTGAGTGCAACCAACTTCCTATGGTGGGTTTGAACTGCTAACCTTGTAGTTAGCTAGTAGCCCAATGAATAACTCTTGAAGTTACCAAGGATAAGACTCCTTTTAAAACTTACTAGGATTAATGTGTCTTCCTTTTTATATAGACAAATGGGAAACTGTCTTGCCATGATTTCAAATATCAGCCGTTGGTATCCCAGACTAACAGTTCTTACAATCTCAGAATCCTGTTTCCTTTGGTAACATCAATGCGTTATGAAACTATGCTAAACCAAAGAAAGTCCTGGTTAATAATCATTAAAAGTGAGATTATTTCCAACAGTATTATTTTATCAGCAGTCGATTGTCTTTTCATTGTCATTTACTAATTTGAGCAACACTTCAACAAGGAGAGTCTCAGAGCTATGAAAAGGAAGGCGTCTCTCTCCTGACAAAAGTGGATGTCGCCCAAAGGCAGTGGTTAAAGGACACAAAGCTGAGGGCACACTGCAGGGCCTGGATGGCCAGACACGGGGCCACTACGGGGCTGAGCGCGGCGGTTTTGCAGGGTGGCCAGGGCCCCGGCGAACGAAGTTGGGGAGGATTCCAGGTTCCAGCGGCCTCCATGCGGGCCAAGAGTGGGCGGAGGGGCCGGCGCCCTCTCACGAGCGAGACGTGCGCCCAGGATCTTTCTGGGTCTCGCTCCTCCCCGCCCGAGGGGGTGGGGGGGGCAAGGGGCCGGGCGGCCGCTCGCACCGGCTATAAAGGGCTTCCGGGACGCCTGGAGCTCGCTTCGGCTCGCCCGCTTCCACCAGCTCCGCCCTCGCCGCCAGCCCTAGCACGGATTCTAGCTCCTTCTCGGGCCCGACTCGACCCTCTCTGGCCTCGGCTACTCAGGCTGCGGCGGAAGATGGCGGCTCCTGCAGCTCAGGAAGAGAGCTCCGAAGTGGCGCTTGCTGCGGCCTTGGCTGATGTGCCCGAGCTGGCCCGGCTCCTGGAGACCGACCCGTACCTGAAACCCTTCGCCTCGGACTTGCAACGCAGGTACCATCCCACAACTACCAACTTCTCCAGCGCGGGGTCCGGGCCTGGGCCTCCCGCTTCGGAGAGCGC